GCCAAATATTTATTCAAATAGACCTCCAGTTGTTTTTGGCCAATCAAATTACAAAATTTAATTAAAACTGTTCTCGCACAGGATATTAGTAAGGCCAGGTGTAGAGGATAAATCTAAAACTATAAATAAAACTAATACATAAACCGTATGTTTAGTTATTTTATAAAATTCTCAGTAGCCAATCATTTGACAGCTGGAACTAGACAATACGTCTTAGGGTGATGACATTGCAGAGTATTTAAAGTTGACGAATCAAATGCAGCGGTAATATCAAATTCTACCTGTTTTAAGCCTTGGCGTCTATTACATAAACAATCTACAGACCCGGTGATCTGTGTTTATTTAGGCCAATACGGTACATAGATATTTGTTAGCAATGACCAAGCAGCTGTAAACTCCACTTAGTGACAAATAATTAGAAGGCTAAATAAGACAGGCATGGCGCGTTCTCTGGCTGAAGAAAGCTTTCAGATAGGTTACGGATAGTGGATGCAAAAATCCTTCGTTAAATACGCTGTCGCAAACAGCCGACAAAGGGCGGTACTCCACTTGATGGTCCCCCGGGGGAGGAGGGGTTAACAGTGGCGGGCTCTTGAGAACACAGTAGTAATTTGCCTAGCTGGTAGTAATGTCAGCTTCTCGAGTAGGATACTGCTTTCTGCGGGAGATTATCTTCGACGTACATGAACAGACAGGAGGAAGCACATTTACCATTATCACGAATGCAGTGTTATTATCGAGTGGCGATGGGAAACGTTTTTTTTTTTGAACTGCAACCAAAGGCAGACGACCTTGAATCACATATCTGAAAAATAACTAACCCACTCTTTACACACCAAGCACAGCGTCTCGGAACAAACAACGAAGCGTACGCCACGACACTCCCAGTGAGGTGACAATATTTAATACCTTTGTGCCCAGATATGATTATAATGAGTGTGAGAACCCCATCAGAAAGTTACGTCATCTGCTGACCCTTGTAATACTAGTCACATCCAGAGCTCGGTCTACCGGATGCAGACATCTCTTCCGCAGTCAGATGTTGAAAATGCACGGGTCGCGATTACGACTTAAGAAGACGAAAATACGGAACATTCAGAAGACAGTGGGTAATGCCTTGCGAGTTGATTTACTGGCAAGTACGGCTACTTCACACGAGGGCAGGTTAATAAAAAGATGTGATCCTGTCTTAACTGTATATTACGTATTCAGTAGACAGAGCGATATTATACCACATAAAAACAAAAAAATGGCTTCTCACTGTCAAGTTCATCCCAAATAAAACCTACCACTGCGAAGTTGGAACCCCTTTCCCGTCAGTTCCGGCAACAGGTGGGTTATTCCGACCTCACTCTACTCTCCACTCAACGCGTTTCGTTTCGTCTTCGTTCATCCCCAGTTCAGCCAACCTTTTGTAATTTCATTTCCGCCTCTCTTCCCGACGACTGCCACCAACGCAACAGACGGACAGTCTGCTGACACCAATAGCGTCACACCGCTGTAAGGCAGGACACTCCAAGCTTCGAACTTTGAACCGTTACCTGGGCAACAAATTACATTTTTCGAACAGTGGTCTACAGATTTTTACATCGTGTAATTTTTTTTCAAGGGAGTCTCATGGCATCACGAAGAAATCCGTTGCGACGACAGGCGTCGGTTTTACAGTTTCGTTTCCTTTGTCGTTCGGAGACCTACTTGCAATAAATTTGGCGACTCCTAAAGTCATCGCGATGTCTGGCGTCAATCATAACATCGTGATCAATGTTATGGCAAAAGCTTCACGGCGCCATCTCAACAAGCCAGATATATGACAAACGACGTTCCAATTACACTGGGCTCGATGTTAGAGAATCGACGCCCAATATCGCGACGCCATCAAATTACGCCTAATTTACAGCAGAAGTATCTAGATGACACTGAAGACGAAACTAGAAAATCGACGCCGAGCGACGGGACGCCAATACAATGCCTTAGGAATGACTCAAACATTAGGAGCGGCATTAGAAAGTCGACGCCCGGGGTCGTGACGCTCTCAAATGATTCCAAATTTACAGCAAATAAGTCTCCAGATGACAATGAACTCTCACCTAGAAAACCTACGCCAAGCGTAGCGACGCTTTCGAAGAATGAGATTTTAATGCACACGACGGTCCGGCCGCCACTGGAAACTATACAAAATCGACGCCGAGCGTGTCGGCTTCGATAATCGGATTTTTAAGTGGGCGCCGGTATTATATTTTTACTAGCCCAGGCGCTGGAGTTTCCTTTCTCTGCCTAACTAACCGAATTAGAGGATTGTGAATGATGAATCTGAAGTCATCGTGCATGGTTTATTTAAGGCACTGCCACAGAATCTTACAAGAAAAGTGAAACCGCCATCCTGTTTCTTATTAGAGAGGTCGCGGACTCAAACCCCGGTCTGGACACCTTTCGTTTTCCTCCGTCCCTCCAGGAAATACCGACACCGCCTTAAATTAGACGACGACCGCCTTCTAGATCCTTCCCAATTCATTGTTCACTATTATCCGACGCTAGACAGTCCGAGCGTTGTTAACCGCATCCAAGACTTCCGCAGGACAAAGCACTGAACCTGCCGAACGCTAAGCTGGAATGTTATTCACTGAACCGCGATGTTTGATAACAAATATCTTGGCAATACGTAAGGCCCGCTCACGGTAAATTTTGGGCAGTGAAGCTTGGCTAAGATGCTGCGGGCAAATACTTGGCACGGGTATGAGAAAAGTGGAAGATTTTGGTGGAAACTACATTGAGGTGCGACAATATACTTCACATCATCACCCCATTTTTTCCCCTAGACTCCGGGAAGAATATGAAGGCCCCAAAGACCAACAAAACACACACACAGTAAGCGTAAACGCCTTCCAAAACGAAACTTTATATTTAAGATTTGAGGTTCTCACGGTGGCCAGATGATGGCTGACTTCTTGGCTTTCGTCGTGCAATGTTACATATTTTCCATCCACGTACTCCAAAAATTCAGTGACCCTGTCGAAATTCTCTTCTGAGAACCAGAAAAGCACATAATCACGGGCAACCATCAGCACAAATCTTCTGACTACATATTCCTACACCTTCAAACATACGAACCACATACTCCTCATCACTGACCAGTTAGCTGTAACACATTTACAAACAGCTCTCAGTTTAAACTTCGCACGTTGAATGGATACCAGAACGAAATTAGCAACTGTTTCTAACACCAACATCAATCCAAAATTTATAAATGGAAATTTTTCCTCGTCCGAGGTTCAAACTTACTTACTCCAAGGAGCCGAATCATTCCTGAGAAGCCAAACAGTCGATCATCCACTCAAGAAATTACCAAAATTTTATGGAACCTGAAGATTCATTATAGTGTCCACAAAAGCCTACCACTGGTTCCTAATCAGAGCCAGATGAATCCAGTTCGTACCACCCCACCCGATATCCCTAAGGTCCATTTTAATATTATCCTCCCACGTACGTCTTAGTCTACCAAGTGGTTTCTTTCCTTCTGGCTTGCCCATCAAAACCCTATATATGTTCCTTCTGGCTTGCCCACCAAAACCCTATATATTCATTCCTCGCCAAATATAATTAGACTGAGGATCAAACTACAAACGCAAACTAGATACAGCGCGTTACTTATTTAAGCAAAACTTTGGGGGTGACAATGTGGGAAGAGAGATAATACGTATCTTAAGGGAAGACGCCGTGAAGATGCTAACTGGAGTGAGATGGCTTACGGATCACATCCGCGACGGATTTTGGTATTTACGGTGTTGAACCCTTCGGTTATATTAATACACAGCTGCATTCGCTGAGGAAATCTATCTGACGTATACTGAGATAAAACCACAGATTTACCACAAGCAAGGCTTTAGAGTGGCTTCGATGTATCCAAACATGCCAATTCCACACAGTTACCACAATGTCAGGTCATCCACGGAGACGTCAGGAAACGAGCTACGTTTTATTTCCACAAGAGTTCACACGTAGCCCGCGAGCCCCACAGTGACAAACATTCCCATTTCCATACGCACTAAAAGTAATGTGTCAACATGACACAACAAAGCAAATAGTGTGAATAATTCTCATCTGGGGAATCCACGAAAGCGGAAAACTCGTCATTTGTTCTCGCTTTGCATTCTCCCCAGTTCTGTGTATCATTCCTACAAACAGTCGGCAGAAGGTCGACTGTCATTTGTCACAGGGAAGAGGTTCACACCAAGGCAGCGTGTGGGAAAGACATAGACGCGACTTGATGTATCGCGGTCCGTGCGGCCCCGTTGTAATGAACGCGACCACATTAATACACAAGCAGTGAACTGCTGACAAGTGTGGCTGTGACACGCCTATAACTTTAAACCGAAATGTTTTATTTATGAGTAAAATTAACCATGATCACAGAATTCAGAACATCACGTGTTTATTCAAAGTCGATGCTTCTATGATTAACCATGATCACAGAATTCAGAACATTATTCAAAGTAGATGCTTCTATGTATCAATGGATATTCGCTTTTTTCCTTCAAATTATCGGTCATTTTCAGTCTAGCCGGACCATACACCCACGCGCGTTAAGTTTAACCTCACAGTACGACGCCAACAACCTTTACAGATGAAGACGAATGTCTTCTAGAATAGTGCACTGCGAAGTCCGGGAGGTATTAACCTACGTTTCTAAGGAACTTACTGCCACCATCATCAGGGAGATGAAACCTCGACGAAAGAGTGGCGATACATCAATATGAAGCTGCCAATATTGCCATCTCATCGACCGATGTAATTCACATCGGTTATTGTGTGTTCCAAGCACAAGACTCATAAAATGAACGCGAGATATGAAAGTAATGTTTTTTTCCCCGTTCTTCAGCATATTTTATCTCAGACGAACAGAAAAGATACCGTATATAACAAATCAAAATGTATCTTTTCATAAAACTGGACCACTACAGCTTACAAAAGATTATCTTATTACTTCTAATTTGTGTACTCACATGTTCGCGTGTGGAAAGCATCTCACTGGAGCATTCTGTTCTGAAAATAAAGTAAAAACAACATGGAGTCTATAAACAGAAAAGAAAAACATGACAAATCGCATCCCGATGACACATTTTTATCAAACCATACGTTGTGCACGGGGTATTGGGCAAGTCTGCAACGTCTTTATTAAACATAAGCTTGCAAAAAGTACGCAAATGCATTTTTATCTCAGACATGGCATTCATCCTGTTATCTGGTAGCCAACAGGGAAGGACCAATGGCCAGAGACAGACGGACTGACTCATGTTCAGGAGCAGATTATGGGATCCGATTCGTTCTGCTCGTTTCCTCTTTCAGCCTACTTTCAAATCGCATGACCACTTGCTACAGAAGAAAAAAGTACTTATGCAACACATCTGTGCAACTGCACGTTCTTTGAGCGGCGTAATGCAAGCGAATGCAGAGGAACGTCTCTTAGTTTCTTAGAAAACCCACAAATGTTATTGCCAAGATCTTGCATAACTCCATATTTCAGCAACGTGTTCATGCTCAAACCAAATGTGCAACTGACATGTTCCACCTCCTTCAACAGTTAAATAACTCAATTTTGTATATTTATGCTTCGTATGATTCTCACTGTAAACATCGATTACTTCCTCAAGCAGCTGATCTTTGTAATGGTGAAGTCTTGTGGTTTCTTTGCGGTACGGACTGAATTTTATAAATACTACTTTGACAAGTTCTGGCTTCAAAGAGCTAAGCTCAATTTAAAAGCAGGTTCTGGTTGTCTGTGTGTGTGGCGTCACACATTTTAAAAATGAAGACGCTTAGTAGGACTTGAGGTTTCCACGGCAGTTAGTCCAAAGATGGCTCTGGCTGTCTTCTGGGTTGCGGGGCTGTGCAGTCTAGTAGAAGCACAGACCTTTCAAACGTTGGTAAACTTCTTCAGCAGCTATCTTAAACCTAAGTTTGTGAACGTACGAAGTTGTAGGCTTACTTTTAAAATTATGTATCCGTTCAGTATTCATGGTAATTCATATACATGCATATTTTTTCTCATTGTACCTACTTTAAATTATCTATTCTCCGACCTGGTGTCCTGATGTAAATATCTATATCGCCTTCCGCCTTTCACATTAGAGCTGGACAAAGTATCGACCATGCTACGTACTACGTTATTTAAAAACTTTTGAGAACCATACTAGAAGCTACCTAATAGTACCAGCACTTCTAAACCCGAACACTGCTATTTAGCGTCATTAGTGAGAACATTTTGGTCTCTGTGCGCATAACCAAACATGCATCGAAGCGAGCAAACATCAAACTGTAAAATACCTACATTTGGTCATGATCATCTACGATGACAAAGTTATTTTTGCTTCAACTCGTTTTCACCTTAACCTAAATTCTTGATATTACGCGCTACAACTGAGGAATTCCTGTTTTGTATGTCTTTTTCCCCACGTACGGCTTCACATATGTGTAAACTAGTTTAATTATCCAGTCCAAAAGACTACGAAGAGACAGCAGGACGTCACTTAAAATCTAGTGTCAGAGTTAATCTTATTGAAAAGTTTGTAAAAAAAAAAACAGTTACTTCTTATGACTTATATTTTCTGAACTGTTTGGTTTTAAGACAGCGAAATGATGATTACCGTGAAGTCTCGAGTCTTATTTCAAAACAAATGTAAGAGTGAGTAATGAACACCTTGAACTTCTGAAGCATGCTGACAGAAAAGAAAGGTTAAGACCTTGTCTTGAAGAACAATTTCCTAACACACTTCATTACTGTCATTAAAACATCTGTAACACTCGCCTAATGGTAAAAGCGGTGGCAACATGAAGCCATACAACTCGATCTAAACAGCAAGAAGCTTTACACTGACAGACGCCACAGCCATTACAAGATGGCTGATTTCTGGGTTAGCCCGGTAAAATTTTAGTGACGTTTCCACGGCAAATTTCAACTTGTGAGACGGAAGTTGTGTTAAACAAATGTAATGCCACATAAACGAAAAAAAAAAGAGTTAGCCCGCACAAAAGAAATCTCTTAACAGTCTTCTTTGAAGAAACTTCAATACCATTTTAAATCCTACGACTTCATCTATTATTTTTAAAAGTTACATCAGCCTACAACTCTCTCGTCTTCCGTTACCCTCACTCCATCCCCAGTCAAACTTTGATAGGTTTCCAACTTTCCTCTAACCTAACACTTTAAATACACCGTGGTTCAGATCCTTTTATTTCAGAGGGCAATTCGTTAAGATTTTATTCTAGCGACATCGACAGCACAAAACTTTGCAGACCAACACATCACGGTATTACGTCAGGGCAAATAACTTCGTCTGCCAATGCAATGTGAACTTCCACGTGTTTGTTTACAAAGGAATACAGACCACATCAAAATAAATCACGATGAACTGCGATTTCACATTCTCACGGCAGCGAGCTTAAAGATGACTTATCTGTGTAGGAGCTTACTGCATCCATCATCAGGGGTAGTAACAATCTCTGAAACGTCGGAAAACTTCTACCAGGTGGAAAGGTGCGTCCAAGGCTTATCTTAGTGGTTATGAACTGGAGTTAACTAAGTCAGGTTGTGGTCTTACGTGGTGACAGTTAAGAATTCCAATAAAATGACACTTCTAACAACACACATCGATTACGTACCTGAATAATAAATGTAGCAACAAAATAACACCGCTACACAACTTACGACCTAAAAGTAAAAACTATTAAATAATTTTAAGTCTAATACTGCAGAAAATTGTTCAGTAAAACGTATAAACTCTCAGCAATCATCATTATCCTTTGAAGTTGCCGAAACTTGCATCCTGGAGTTCGGAAATTAAAGACGTTACTTAAAGACTTGAGGTTCTCACAGCGGTGAGTATGAAGATATCAGTCTTCTGGGTTATTGCGCTGTGTAGTCTGGTCGATGTTAACCAACG